TTCATAGTTAGTTTGGAGTCAAATTTCACCCCAAGGATATCAACTTCTTCTCCACGTGCCAACATCCTCCCATTCATCCTTACTACTGCACCAGCATTACCATCATGGTGCCTATAGATGATCATCATTTGCATTTTCTCAGGTGCAAATGTTACTTGCCATCTATTTCCCCAAGCTGATATAGCTCTTAGCTGGTGATTGATGTAGCTTAAAGCAGCTGGCATTTCTTCTCTTGGATAAGTGAATGTCAGTGTACAGTCATCTGCATATGCATGTGATTCTAGGATGAGATGAAGAAGGTCGTTGAAGTAGACATTCCATAATAATGGTCCCAGCACGCTTCCTTGTGGAACACTTGCCCCAATAGGATGTCTTGCTGATTCCGTTCCATTGAGAACTACACTTAGAGATCTACCATTAAGGTAATCACTGAGGAGACATAGCGTAGAGCCTGCAGTTCCCAGTGCTTGAAGTTTTGCTAAGAGGCCCTGGTGCCACACCCAGTCGAAAGCACCAGCAATGTCCAGCGCTACCACACAGCTGACTTTGGATTCATCCAGTGACTGGTGCCACTTAGTGGAGAGGTTTAACAACAGATCAGCAGCAGAGTAACCTTTCCTGAAGCCTTATTGACGATCACAAAGTAGTGAGTGGTAGTCAAAAAACTCTGTCATTTGTCTTGAGATTATTGTCTCAAGGATCTTACCAGTGATTGACAGGAGTGACACTGGTCTGTAGTTGCTGATTTCTGCTCTGCTCTTCTTTTTGTGAACAGGGACTACATTTGCCTCTTTCCACAGAGAGGGCCATTTACACTGTATTAGGCAGTGCTGAAAGATGCGAGTTAGATGTTCTGCTAGCTGGTCTGCACATCTTCTCATCAATCTTGGGCTCAACTTGTCTGGGCCCACAGCCTTTTCTTGGTCAAGCGATTTAAGAAGGAAATGCACCTCCTCCTGCCTTATTGTCACCACTGACAGTTTTGACACAGTTCTTGCAGCTAGCCAAGGAGGGTCCCTTGCTGGATCAGTAACTTGCATTTTGGTAGCAAAGTGTTCAGCAAAGAGGTCCGCCTTCTCTTGACTACTAGTAGAGGTGGTCCCATCCTGTCGATTTAGAGGTGGAATGAGTTCATCAGGCAGATAACCTTGTCTGTCTTTGACCAGGAACCACCAGGTTTTGGAGCCTACCCTACCTGATGCTAGCTTTCTTTTAGTGTCCACCTCCCATTTAGCAGTGGCCCACTTTTGAACATCACCCATATGCCTACAGGCTTGCCTGTGCAAGTTCCCATTATAGGTGGTAGGATGTCTCTTATACCTTTGCCATGCTTTGTACTTAGCAGTAGCAGCCTCTCTACAACGAAAGCCAAACCAAGGCTGATCTGTAGGCTTCGTCACATATTGCCGGTGAGGAATGTGTCCTTGTTGTAGATTAAGGATGTGTCCAGTGAAGGCTTTCACTTGGTTGTCAACATCCCCTTGGAGAAGAGTGTTCCAATCGGTGGTGGCGAGCTCAGATCAAAAGGCTGGCCAATTACCTCTTTCCCATAGCCAGGTTGTGTGTGTGGACTCCTCACCTCGTTCTGTTGGGATCTTAAGTGTCGTAAAAACAGCCTTGTGGTCAGACGATCCAACGTAGCCGAGGGGTTGACAAGTGACTATGCCTTCTGCCAGATCACTCACTACTGGTCAAGGAGGAGCCAGAGATGTGAGTAGGGAAATCAACAAAGTTTCTCTTGTCAAACACTGCAAGAAGGTCATCAAAGTCCCTCTGTATAAGGTGCTGGTTGAGGTCACCAACAATTATGATATGTTGACAGTTGTGTTGTAGCAGAAGGGAGTCAATATTTTCCATTAGGAAGTTGATGGGGTCTGCATGTTGCCACTGAGGTCTGTACATTGCACATGCTAGTACAGAGGTACTAGTGTTTATGCAGAGCTTGAAGAACATCATTTCAAGATGAGCAGGGATGGCAACATCAATGTGCTGGGCATGAACACTTTTAGAGAAGCACACAGCAACACCTCCTCCTTGCCCTTGCCTGTCTCTTCTCATCCATGAGGTGTAGCCAGCAATTCTTGCAAAATTTTCTGGAGTCCTTTCATCCAAAAATGTTTCAACAACATTCATTCTCTCTCTCTCTCTCTCTCTCTCTCTCTCTCTCTCTCTCTCTCTCTCTCTCTCTCTCTCTCTCTCTCTCCTCTCTCCTCTCTCTCTCTCTCTCTCTCTCACTCTCTCCTCTCTCTCTCCTCCTCTCTCTCTCTCTCTCTCTCTCTCTCTCTCTCTCTCTCTCCTCTCTCTCCTCTCCTCTCTCTCTCTCTCTCTCTCTCCTCTCTCTCTCTCTCTCTCTCTCTCTCTCTCTCCTCTCTCTCTCTCTCTCTCTCTCTCTCTCCTCTCTCCTCCTCTCTCTCTCTCTCTCTCTCTCTCTCTCTCTCCTCTCTCTCTCTCTCTCTCTCTCTCTCTCTCTCTCTCCTCTCTCTCTCTCTCTCTCCTCTCTCTCTCTCTCTCTCCTCCTCTCCCTCTCTCTCTCTCTCTCTCTCTCTCTCTCTCTCTCTCTCTCTCTCTCTCTCCTCTCTCTCTCTCTCTCTCTCTCTCTCTCTCTCCTCTCTCTCTCTCTCTCTCTCCTCTCTCTCTCTCCTCTCTCTCTCTCTCTCCCCTCTCTCTCTCTCTCTCTCTCTCTCTCTCTCTCTCTCTCTCTCTCTCTCTCTCTCTCTCTTTTTTTTTTTTTTACACAGGGTTTGACAAGGTTAAGGATCCCTAGCTCTATTGACAAGCTATTTACAGGTTAAGGATTCCTAACTTTATTGGCACGCTAAGAGCTGTTACCTAGTAGCAATAAGAGCAGCCTCATACATCAGCTCATTTGAAAGCATTTTTATTGTTATGAGACATACAAGTAGGGAACAGGATGAAGTTGGAGCCATCTGTGGGCCAGCATTTTCATGTGATCAACTGACTTTATATCACTGACATCATTATGCTGTACGAATGTGTTCCATAGTCGAGTCATCCTGGGTATATATGATCTCAGATGGAGTGATGTTGTGGAGAAGGGTACAGCCAGAGTGAAGTTGCTGCTTTCTGCCCATCTTGTGGCATAAAAGCTTGTTTCATACTGTCCTCAAAGTGGATCCAAGTGTGGTACTTTGGCAATTTTGGCCTTATACATAACAGTAAGGCCACCCACATCCCTCCTATGTTGAAGGCTCTGCTGAAATGACAGATCTATCCAGGATGGGTCCAGGCGAGAGATGAGACATCTTGCTCTGTTCTCTACTCTGTCAAGCAGTCACAGATGAGAGGGGGGGGACAGGCAAACCAAGAAAGTGGAGCATACTCTAGGTGTGAGCGTACTTGTGCCTCGTACAGAATCTTGCAACCCCTACTGTCAAGCAGATGCGAGATACGGCAAAGTGCTGTAAGCTTCCTGGCTGCCTTGTTTGCAAGATTTACAACATGGTTCTTCATGGTTAGTTTGGAGTCAAATTTCACCCCAAGGATATCAACTTCTTCTCCAGGTGCCAACATCCTCCCATTCATCCTTACTACTGCACCAGCATTACCATCATGGTGCCTAGAGACGATCATCATTTGCGTTTTCTCAGGTGCAAATGTTACTTGCCATCTATTTCCCCAAGCTGATATAGCTCTCAGCTGGTGATTGATGTAGCTTAGAGCAGCTGGCATTTCTTCTCTTGGATAAGTGAATGTCAGTGTACAGTCGTCTGCATATGCATGTGATTCTAGGATGAGATGAAGAAGGTCGTTGAAGTAGACATTACGTAACAATTGTCCCAGTATGCTTCCTTGTGGAACACTTGCCCCAATAGGATGTCTTGCTGATTCCGTTCCATTGAGAACTACACTTAGAGATCTACCATTAAGGTAATCACTGAGGAGACATAACGTAGAGTCTGCAATTCCCAGTGCTTGAAATTTGGCTAAGAGGCCCTGGTGCCACACCCGGTCGAAAGTGCCAGCAATGTCCAGTGCTACCACACAGCTGACTCACTCACTCACTCTATCTCTCTCTCTCTCTCTCTCTCTCTCTCTCTCTCTCTCTCTCTCTCTCTCATTCTTTTTTTTTTTTTACACAGGGTTTGTCAAGGTTTAGGATCCCTAGCTTTATTAACAAGCTATTTACAGGTTAAGGATCCCTAGCTTTATTGGCAAGCTAAGAGCTGTTACCTACATCAGCTCATTTGAAAGCATTTTTATTGTTATGAGACATACAAGTTGGGAAACAGGATGAAGTTGGAGCCATCTGTGGTCCAGCATTTTTGTTTGATCAGCTGACTTTATCTCGTTGACATTATTATGCTGTACGAATGTGTTCTATACTCGAGTCATCCTGGGTATTCTCTCTCTCTCTCTCTCTCTCTCTCTCTCTCTCTCTGTCTCTACCTGTCTCTCTCTCTTTCTCTCTCTCTCTGTCTCTCTCTGTCTCTCTCTGTCTCTGTCTCTCTCTGTCTCTGTCTCTCTCTGTCTCTGTCTCTCTCTGTCTCTCTCTCTCTCTGTCCTCTCTCTCTCTCTCTCTCTCCTCTCTCTCTCTCTCTCCTCTCTCTCTCTCTCTCTCTCTCTCTTCTCTCTCTCCTCTCTTCCTCTCTCTCTCTCTTTCTCTCTCTCTCACTGTCACTCTCTCATTTCTCACCCTCTCTGCCACTATCACTCTCTCTCTCTCCTCTCTCTCTCTCTCTCTCTCTCTCTCTCTCTCTCCTCTCTCTCCTCTCTCTCTCTCTCTCTCTCTTCTCTCTCCTCCCTCCCTCCCTCTCTCTCTCCCTCCCTCTCTCTCTCCCTCCTTTCCTCTCCCTCTCCCTCCCTCCTTCCCTCCTCCCTCTACCTCCTTGCCCCCTCCCCCACCTGGTCCTTGTTTCTCAGCTTTCTACTAAATCATTCACAAAATATTTTATGTGAAAATCTAAGAGGATTATCTGCTGTATTTGTATATCATTTTAATGCTTAAAGTTTGAACTAATTTTTTTACATTCTTCTGGCAGTAGGTATGGGTGAGTCTGAGGAGCTTATCAAGGAGGTGGCAAGTCTTCGAGCCAGACTGGAAGGCATGGAGGAGGAGATCAGGGCGAGGGAGGCTACCATTGACGAACTGGAAAATCAGCTTCAGCGAGCCCGGGCCGATGACCAGCGCGAGAAAGTACAGGTGAAGATCCCTCCAAGAGATAATGTGGCTTTATGCTGCTGAAGGACTCTTGATCCAAGCAGTTAGCTATTTTCCCCTTCCTTGGATCAAGACTGATTATCTCTCATTTCCCTCCAAGAGATAGGGTATTTTGATGCTACTGAAGGCATGTAAATAAGCAGAATTTTACCTCCAGTTGGGACTGGGTGCCATACTTGACATTTGTTGAAAATAAATTAATAACACCAGTTATACAGATACACTAGGCCTATACTACTGTCAGCAATAACAGTCATGACTAAAATTTGTGGTAATTTTAAAAAATTTAGAGGTTCCACAAGAAGTGTGCAATGTGGAATATACAGATCTGGGTATCATGTTTTCTGTGATTCAGTTAATACTGTAGCTACCAGTAAAATGGAGCATGGGAAATGTACTGGCTATGTATGAGAGAGAAAGTGTTTTGGGCAGGTATAATGTGTGCATCACTAACCAAGATAAAATGTTTTGGAAAACTACTTGGAAAGACATGAAAAGTGGAAAATAAAGTAGATGAAGATGCTAGTGAAGGAGTAGATACACATGTACATAACAGCAAACACGAGACATCAATATTGATGTCTCGTGTTTGCTGTTCGTGCTTGGCGCATAATTTTGTTTGTGATTGTAGGGTAAAGGCCTTTACTGATGGGTCAAAGAGTGAGGGTGGTGTTGGCTTTGCTGTGATTGCCTGTGAAAACTCTTATTGTGCACAGTTGCCAAGGAGTGCTCTGTGCTCACTTTGGAGCTCCTCGTAATCTTCGCTGCTCTTGTCCTAATAGCTGGATTTGCTGGATTTCCATTCACTTTGTACTAAGATTCCCAGTGTGCTCTGTTTGTCCTGGATCAGTACACTTCTGTCCATCTTGTGGTCTAAAAGATTTAGAAGTGCTTAGCACTTATGCACAACACAAGGATGTGGATTTATGTTGGTGCCAAGGCCATGTTTGTGTCCTGGGAAGTGAGCAAGCTGATGTAGAGGCAAAGTCTGCAATAACAAGCTTATTTTAAGTGGACTTTTGCCTTACAGCGACTTCATGGGTCATATCATCAGTTAGGTCCTGGAGAAGTGGCAGACACAGTTGGCCTTCCAGGCAGGATGCAAGTTGTATAGGGTTTGGCAGAATGTGGGTTTTTAGCCCTCCTCCTTTAACAAGAATTGTCACTTTGAAATGAATCTCTGTCACCTATGGATCAGGTTACATATTTCACCCATAGTCACCTATTAGAAGATGCTTCTTCCCTATCACTACCCACCCACCTCTTTATTCACCTAGTTGTGCTCACCTAGTTGTGGTTGCAGGAATTGAGTCATAGCTCCTGGCCCTGCCTCTTCACTGGCCGCTACTGGGTCACTTTCCCTGCACCATGAGCTTTATCATACCTCTACTTAAAGCTGTGAATGGATCCTGCCTCCACTACATTGTTTCCCGAACTATTCCACTTCCTGACTACTCTGTGACTAAAGAAAAACTTCCTAACATCCCTGTGATTCATCTGTGTCTTCAGCTTCCAACTGTGTCCCCGTGTTGCTGTGTCCCATCTCTGGAAAATTCTGTCTCTGTCCACCTTGTCAATTCCTCTCAGTATTTTATATGTCATTATCATGTCCCCCCTCTCTCTCCTGTCCTCTAATGTCGTCAGGTCAATTTCCCTTAACCTCTCATTGTAGGACATACCCCTTACCTCTGGGACTAGTCTTGTTGCAAACCTCTGCACTTTCTTTAATTTCTTTACGTGCTTGGGTTGATGTGGGTTCCAAACTAGTGCCGCATACTCCAGTATGGGCCTAAGGCACACAGTGTACAGGGTCCTGAACGATTCCTTATTAAGATGGCGGAATGCTGTTCTTAGGTTTGCTAGGTGCCCATATGCTGCAGCAGTTATTTGGTTGATGTGCCCCTCAGGAGATGTGCCTGGTGTTATTCTCACCCCAAGTGAGGTTTGTAGTCTCTGGCCCCCTAGACTGTACTCCATCTGCAGTTTTCTTTGCTCTTCCCCAATCTTCAAGACTTTGCACTTGGTGTGGTTGAACTCTAGGAGCCAATTGCTGGACCAGGCCTGCAGCCTTTCCAGATCCCTTTGTAGTTCTGCCTGGTCCTTGTCCGATTGTATTCTTCTCATCAACTTCACATCATCTGCAAACAGGGACACTTCGGAGTCTCTTCCTTCCGTCATGTCGTTCACAAATACCAGAAACAGCACAGGTCCTAGGACTGACCCCTGTGGAACCCCACTCGTCACAGACACCTACTCTGACACCTCGCCTCGTACCATGACTCGCTGCTGTCTTCTTGACAGGTATTCCCCTGAACCATTGTAGTGCCAATGTGTAACTTGTAGTGTGCAGCTGACCATGGAATACATTTTAGCAGTTTACCCATGGTTTAGGCCTTTCTGCTTTCATCATGGTTTTACAAGTACTTGGGCGCTGTAGGAACCTTTAGGTATTTTTAGGGGAGTTTTGACATTAATAATTGAATGGGATTTTTAACTGTAGCTGGTTACTTTAAATTGGTATGAGAGTGTATGCATTTGTGTTTTGTGTTTTATTCATGTTAGTAGTTTTTATTGTTTGATAATTTTGTCATTGTTTTGGTTGTGTTTATGTTATATATATTTTTATCACCAAGAGTGTTGAATGATCTTCACAAATATCAAAACTACCAGCTGTAATCATGCTGATTACAATTCTGAGGTATCCATGAAAATGTTTAGATTTTAAAGTTCACTAGGGCCCCTAACTTAAGACGTTAATGCATTCCTGAAAATTCAATGCAGGCTGAGTGTTTGGTGCATGGAATCTATTTTCGCATAGAAACCTGTGTTATGATCGGAGATGCATTTTAATTCCATAATGTTCTATAACTAATTTCATTTATTTTTTAACTAAGAACTTTTGCCCAATATTTTACCACACATTCAGTACTGTTCCTTTTCACTTATAAATACTGTATTAAACATTGTTTAATAAATTCATACATGTTAATTAAACAGAACAGAGCTACATTAATGTAATCAGTACACTATTGCACTGTCTCAGAAGAATGAGGAGGGTAAAGATGAGGGAGGGTGGAGAGGGAGTGGGGAATGAAGAGAGTGGTAGAAAGGGAAAACCACTGGAAACTTACTGTTTCTTACAATAGATACCAGAAATACTAAGTAGTAGGTTGGTAGACAGCAACCGCCCAGGGAGGTACTACCGTTCTGCCAAGTGAGTGTAACACAGAAGCCTGTAATTGTTTTACATGATGGTAGGATTGATGGTGTCTTTTTTTTCTGTCTCATAAACATGCAAGATTTCAGGTACGTCTTGTTGCTTCTACTTACACTTAGGTCATGCTACACTTGTATGTACGTGCATGTATATATGCACCCCTCTGTATTTTCTTCTATCTTTGCACTAGTTCTTGTTCTGGTTTATTTCCTCTTATCTCCATGGGGAAGTGGAATAGAATTCTTCTTCCGTAAGCCATGCGTGTCGTAAGACATAGCTAAAATGCCAAAAGCAAGGGGCTAGTAACCCCTTCTCCTGTATATTACTAAATTTAAAAAGAGAAATTTTCGTTTTTCCTTTTGGGCCACCCTGTCTCAGTGGGATATGGGCAGTGCATAAGAAGTAGTAGGATGGTAGATGGCAACTACCCAGGGAGGTACTACCATCCTGCCAAGTGAATATGAAGCAGAAACCTGTAGTTGTTTTACATGATGAAAGGATTGCTGGTGACTTTTTTTCTGTTTCATAAACACGCAGGATAACAAGTATATCTTGCTACTTCTACTTACACTTAAGTCACACTACATGTGCATGCACATGCATATATATACACACCCACCTGGGTTTTCTTCTATTTTCTTAATAGTTCTTGTTCTTGTTTATTTCCTTTTATCTCCATGGGAAAGTGGAACAGAATTCTTTCTCTGTAAGCCGTTGTTGTTGTAAGAGGCGACTAAAATGCTGGGAGAAAGGAACTAGTAACTCCTCCTCCTGTATAATTTACTAAATTTAAAGAGAAAAACTTTTGTTTTTCTTTTTAGGCCACCCTGCCTCAGTGGGATACAGCTGGTTTGTTGAAAATATAATACCAGAAATAAGACACTAAGAGTTTATCTCTTCACCTTTTGCTACTAGTATGTAATTACAAAGCCAGAGAGTCTTAGAAATTAAAATGTCCTGTTTTGTTTTTTGGATAATAAATTTCTAGAAAAAAAGTATAATAAGCAGCTACTCACTTTTGGCATTTTAGTTGCTCTCTGTGATGTACTTCTATTTTGAGGCAAGAAACTTAATTAGTTTTTTAACAGCACAGAAAAAGAAAAACTGAAAAATGTAGTGATTAAGGCTTGATCAACTGATTCAAAGAGTACAAAGGAAAAAAGAGATGACAGGTACATATTAACTAAATGTAAGTTATAGTTATAGCTTCAAGGGCTGGAGCCTGGTCCGTGGCTGGGCTCCGGGAGTAAAAAAAATGCTCTCCGAGCTCATCAATGGTATGCTAAATTGCAGGATGTTAAACTGATTTTAGTTTTATCAATGGTATGACTGGACATTACATAGCATGTCTCTGCCTATCAGTACAGTGGAACCTCAAATATCGAACTTTCTTCGTTCCAGACGGCTGTTCGAGTGTCGTTACCGAATGAATTTATTCCAACCACGAATAATGTAAATTAGATTAGTTCATTTCAGACTCTCAAAAATACACTTATAAAAGCACTTACAAAAATACACTTACATAATTGGTCAAGTTGGAAGCAGTTCGATATTTGAGGTTCCACTGTACAATATAAAGTACATATTTTTCCATAGCATATTTGTGTGTCATTTGTATTCAGATTTACCACAATTTAACCCAAGGTGTTATATGAGAATTCCTATTTGCTTGGTAAAGCATTTTTCACTGTAGATCATTCTCTTTCCTTTTAATACAAAATGCACTTTTTATACATTAAAAATACATTTTGTTAGAAAATAATTTCAGTACTTGTCTAATTGCAGCGCCTTAGTGACGAGAATGAACAGTTACGAATGGAGACTGCACGTGCCCAGTCTCAACTAGATGTAGCAATGTCAACACAAGACTCTCAGCGAGGTGTGGTTGAGAGTGTCAACGTGCAGTTAGGGGAACGTATCAAAGACCTCCTGGCTCTTCACAGTGAACTGAATCACCTACTTACTACCTGAGGGGGGTCGGGTCGGGGGCTGCCACCCCACCCACAGCACCGCTCCAATGCTGGCCAGAGAAAGACGATTCGCCTTCAGGCTGTCTGGCATGTCTAGTGAGCGCGGGGATTATGGCCGCTTCTGACCTGGAAACACGCTACACTTTTTACTCTCCCCTTTCTGTAATCCCAGTTTATCCTTTTTTTTTTTGTAAATAATCTGTTATACCCTGTCATTCCTCACTGCTAGCCCAGCTTCTTTTTCTTACTTTATTTCCTTGTCTTGAGAGAAGACAGGTTACTGTGAGCCTCTAGGAACTATGGGATGTGTTTAGTATGTAGACCAAAGCATTTTAAATTCACTAAATTATTTTTCTTAGTGTTGCAACTTGTTTTTCTTTACCATTATCTTCCTGGTAGCTCATTTTAATCTTTTTTTGTCATTCCTAGTTACATGATTTATGAAAACTACCACTAGTAGTCTTATGTAAGATCAAATTAATACTTCATTTCTGTAAATTTAACTTCCCTTTATTTCTTTGCATATTCAAATGCTGTATAAAATTAAAAGTACTCTTATGCTGCCAATTCTTTGAGATAATTATTTTTTCTTTTATAGACTTTTTCTCAACATTTGGCAAAATGACCAATAATAACCACACACTTTGATCATCAGTATTCTTTAAATAATTCAAGGTTCTATTTGTTGCACTTACAAGTGTTTCTTAGAAAATGTACTGACTCAATTCATGTACTATTTTAATGTTCATCATCACTAAGGTTTGACCATTGTTTTAGTAGTTTGGTAAAAATCAACTTTGTTAGCCTTACTAGAACGCTAACTCGTACAGTCTTCATTCAGGGCTTCTGAATGTTATATACTATAGTATTATTTAGTTTCTTACCAGGTCTAGTTGTTTCCTCTGTCAGTAGCTTGTTAAATATATTGTTTGTCACTAGGCAGTGTTATGCTGTTACCAGGCAGTATTATGCAGTCACCAGGCAGTGTTATGCTGTCACTAGGCAGTGTTATGTTGTCACCAGGCAGTGGTATGCTGTCATCAGGTAGTGTTAGGCTGTCACCAGGCAGTGTTGTGCTGTCACCAGGTAGTGTTATGCTGTCAATAGGCAGTGTTATGCTGTCACCAGGTAATGTTATGCTATCACCAGGTAGTGTTATGCTGTCACCAGGTGGTGTTATGCAGTCACCAGGCAGTGTTATGCTGTCACTAGGCAGTGTTATGTTGTCACCAGGCAGTGGTATGCTGTCATCAGGTAGTGTTAGGCTGTCACCAGGCAGTGTTGTGCTGTCACCAGGTAGTGTTATGCTGTCAATAGGCAGTGTTATGCTGTCACCAGGTAATGTTATGCTATCACCAGGCAGTGTTATGCTGTCACCAGGTGGTGTTATACTGTCACCAGGCAGTGTTATGCTGTCATCAGGAAGTGTTATGCTGTCACCAGGCAGTGTTATGCTGTTACCAGGCAGTGTTATGCTGTGGCACCAGGCATTGTTATGCTGTGGCACCAGGCAGTGTTATGCTATGTCACCAGGCAGTGTTACACTGTCACCATACAGTGTTGCACTGTCACCAGGCAGTTTTACACAGTCATCAGGCAGTGTTACACTGTCATCAGGCAGTGTTACACTCATCAGTGTTACAAAGTCATCAGGCAGTGTTACACAGTCATCAGGCAATGTTACACAGTCATTAGGAAGTGTTACACTGTTACCAGGTAGTGATACACTGTCACCAGGCAGTGTTACACAGTCATCAGGCAGTGTTACACTGTTACCAGGCAGTGTTACACTGTTAACCAGGTAGTGTTACACTGTCATCAGGCAGTTTTACACTGTTACCAGGCAGTGTTACTCTGTTAACCAGGTAGTGTTACACAGTCATCAGGCAGTGTTACACTGTTACCAGGCAGTGTTACACTGTTAACCAGGTAGTGTTACACTGTCATCAGGCAGTTTTACACTGTTAACCAGGTAGTGTTACACTGTCACCAGGCAGTGTTACACTGTCATCAGGCAGTGTTATACTGTCTTCTTGATTCTCTCATATATATAATTTGATGTTGAACCAAGCAGTATATATAAAATTCAGCACAAATGTATTTTTTTTTTCAACAAGTCAGCCGTCTCCCACCATGGCAGGGTGACCCAAAAAGAAAGAAAATCCCCCCCAAAAATACTTTCATCATCATTCAACACTTTCACCTCACTCACGTATAAACACTGTCTTTGCAGAGGCACCCAGATACAACAGTTTAGAAGCATATATAACATACCCCTTCAAACTGCCAATATCCCAAACCCCTCCTTTAATGTGCAGGCATTGTACTTCCCATTTCTGGTACTCAAGTCCGTTTATATAAAAACTGGTTTCCCTGAATCCCTTCACTAAATATTACCCTGCTCACACTCCAACAGCTTGTCAGGTCCCAAAAACCATTCATCTCCACTCACTCCTATCTAACACACTTACACATGCTTGCTGGAAGTCCAAGCCCCTCGCCCACATAACCTCCTTTACCCCCTCCCTCCAACCTTTTTTAGGATGACCCCTACCCCGCCGTCCTTCCCTTACAGATTTATACGCTCTCCAAGTCATTCTACTTTGATCCATTCTCTCTAAATGACCAAACCACCTCAACAACCCCTCTTCAGCCCTCTGACTAATACTTTTAGTAACTCCACACCTCCTCCTAATTTCCACACTCCGAATTCTCTGCAGAATATTTACACCAAACATTGCCCTTAGACAAGACATCTCCACTGCCTCCAGCCGCCTCCTCGCTGCAGCATTTGCAACCCAAGCTTCACACCCATATAAGAGTGTTGGTACTACTATACTTTCGTACATTCCCTTCTTTGCCTCCATGGATAACGTTTTTTTGTCTCCACAGGTACCTCAATGCACCACTCACCTTTTTTCCTTCATCAGTTCCATGTTTAACCTCATCCTTCATAAACCTATCCACTGACAAGTCAGCTCCCAAATATCTGAAAACATTCACTTTCTCCATACTCCTCTCCAATGTGATATCCAATTTTTCTTTATCTAAATCATTTGATACTCTCATCACCTTACTCTTATCTATGTTCACTTTCAACTTAACAAATGTATGATGTTAATTTATATAATTTCCATATTATTTTTATTATAACGTCTTCATGAAATAAATGAAAATCTATTATTTACAAGGAAAGATAAAAAATATTCAGTTTTAGTTTATTTTAAGATTATTAATTGAATCTCAGATAAATTACAAGTTTTTTACTTTTCTCACAAGTAATCACCCAAATGTGATTTGGAGGTACATAGTTAAAAGTGGACTTACTTGCGCTCAATACTTATTTAACAACTGGCTGGTTTTGCAGCCTTATTTTATGATATACTGTTTAACATTAATAGGATTTTACTGTATATCACTCTTTCTCTTTATATATATATATTTTTTTTCAACAAGCCAGCCATATCCCATCAAGGCAGCATGACATGCACACGCGTGCGTGCACACACACGAATCACAAGGATATTAGGAAGTATTTCTTCAGTCATAGAGTTGTCAAAAAAATAGAATAATCTGGAGTTTGATACAGTGGAAGCTGGAGCAGGATCAGTAACTTTAAGAAGAGGTATGATACAGCTCATGGAGCAGGGAGAGAGTGGGCCTAGTAGCAACCAGCAAAGGGGTTGGGCCAGGAGCTGTGACTTGACCCCTGGAACCACAAATAGATAAGTACACACACACATGCACCTGCACATTCATATACATATCTATGTACATACACATGTGCACATGCACACGTATTAAAATATGATTTAAAAAGAAAATATTATGAAATGTTAACAGATATTAAGGTATTTTAAATTACTGAATAAGGTTATACAACTGTGAAAAATATAATGAAGTAAACTTGCAAAACTGTGGTTGGAACAATTCACATCTAACCCAAAAACAGGTAGTGAAATGGTCTCTCCTGGACCAGTGCTATATGTGTGTATATAGTATATAGGCTCTGAGAGGTGTGTGTGTGTCTTTGTATATGCTGAGGGTTTACATTAATCAGTATTTTAGGTATTAAAGTATTCTTGACTGGTGGTGAACAGGTTACATGCAACCTTAATGACCCTTGTATAGTTGATAGGTTTTAAACTCCATTAACCAAGTGCTAAAATGTTAACCTTCAACAGCAATTCTAATTAAAAGTTGGAAATAATTTGAAAACAAAGAAGTTCACTGAACCACCTGGAGTGATGTTTAGGCTCTTCATTGTGATTTTTGTAATTACTGGCGTATCTCTAGGAATCTTGGGGAACTTTCAGGAGAGCTTTTGACATTACCGGTATAATGGGATTTTTAACTTATGACGACTTTTTTTGGCCTTGGTGTAATAGTATTTATTTGTGTTATGTGTTTTACTCATTTTATCTTTTTACTGCTTGTTCTTATGCATTTTGCATTTAGTTTTTTATTATTAAAAGTACTCATTGCTAACTCTGGTCAAAAAGTGGTCTTCCAGTTTCACTAAGAACTACCTACTGTAAGAAGAGATTGTGAGACCAATAGGCCATGCTATCTGAACAAGCATCTCTTGAACAAAGAAAGGATTTAAACTTATTGGGTGATCATTGGCTAGGCTGTAGTCCTAATTCCTGAAAGTGGTCATTTAGATAATACTTGAGTCATTCTGTAGGGATTACCTTGATGCTTTACATACATATGAGAGTATAGTGATACCAGCACTTGCATATATATCATGCATGGTCTTTAAATGTTGAAGCAAGGAGGGAGAAACATCTTATGTTTGACAACGGTGTGGGGTGAATAAAAAGCAGTGAAATATCCCCACCTCTCTTTCAAATTGCAGGCACTTAGCTTCTGTCTCAAGCACTTAGATCCAGTTAACCAGTTTTTCCTGAGTCCCTTCAGAAATGTTGCCATGCTCACAGCTGACACTTCAACAGCACATGAAATCCTTAAAACCATAGATCTCTACTCTGCTCTAACTAATGCCTGCTATATCTTCAAGCACTTAGCAATCAAAACCTCTTTCACCCACTTAGCAATCAAAACCTCTTTCACCTCATCCCTGTAACCTCCCTGGAATGTCCCTTACCCCTCCTCCTCCTATTCACCCTGGATTTGTCAATCCTTTGGGTCAACTTATCTTACTTGGTCTTTACTAAATGACCAGACCATTTCAGCAACCTCCCCTCTGCTCTTCGAAGTACATCCTTCAAACCACCGTACCACCGCCTAATTTTTACACTCATTCTCTACATAAGGTTTACACTACTCATTGTGCTCAGATTTAACATCCAGCTTCTTCCTCGGTTCATTTTTTCAAAGACCATGCCATTGGAACCACTACTCAGTACTCTGGTACATTCCCATTTTTGCCTCCACTGATAAACAACCCTCTTTCCACAAATGCTTCAACACTCCACATCTTTTGTTATACCCTCACCTGTTTTATGATTCATTTTATCTTTCATACACCCATCTGCTAGCACATCTACTTGTAAATCTCTAAAATACATTCAGTTATTACATACTCATCCCTCCAATCTTTTATTTACTTACCAGAGTTTTTATTTACTCGTCTCGCCATGCTTTTTTTTTTGTGCTACCTTTCAACTACCTTCTTCCGCACATCCTACCAAACTTCTTTACTTTCCTTTGCAACTTCTCTTTGGAATCTCCCAAAAGTACTGTGTTATCAGCAAAGAGTAACTGTGACAACTCTGACACTTCACTTCAAGCTCATTATACTTTAAGCCCACACCTTATAACACACTAGCCTTCACCTCTTTTACAACCCTACCTAAAAATATATTAAACAGTTATGGCAACAACACACATCCTTGTCTAAATCTTACTTTTAATGGCAAATAGTTTCTTTCTCTTCTACATACTCTAACCTAAACAATAATATTTTATAACCTACCACTTATTTTATTCATTTGAAATGCCTGCCACATCATTTCCTAATCCACCCTATACCTGGGGTATACCTGGAGGGTGTTCTGAGGGTTAGTGCCTTTGTGGCCCAGTCCATGACCAGTTTATCATGTTGTTTTTCTGTAATTTGATAACAAAAGCAAACTGTTAGTTACCTTTACTCAAAATTACTTATTTATATGCATTAATGGTCAACATATCTTCTGCCCTTCCTAAATCTTCCATGTTCCTCTCCATTCCTGCTTTGTGTTTTAACCCTAACTCTTTCACTGATGATTCTACTGTTTAAACAGACTTGTTTCCTTGTAATTCTTGCTCACAAGCTTGGCCTATTAATGATTAAATATTCAAGTTGTAAGGGATAGAGCCTCATTTGTATACAGGTTATCTTGTTAGATGGTTCACTGGGTTGGGACAGAAAATTACAATATTTCTATTAGGTTTTCATCCTGTTTAAAGTTTTTTTGCTGGTGGTAGTATTTCTTATTTGTTTCTTTAAAAGCTGAAAGATAAATTTTGAGGTCCAAATATAAATTTACAATAGAAATGCAGTAACCCTTTGATCTAATGGATCTTAATATACCAGACTTCAGAATTAAGGGACAAAATCCAGTGGGTTAATAGATTCAGAAATAGAAGACAAAGCTTAGTTGGTTACAGAATGCAGCTTTTGAAGCCTTTGTAATATTTTTCTGTTACATGAAGGACCTCTGTAGAAGAGATAAGAATATCAGTGCAGAGATGAGAGTTTCACAGCAGTTGTGAAATGGTCAGAAAATTTTTAAGCAGAGATAGCACTGTTGAACTAGGACATATACAGTAGCTTTTTTTTCTTATTAACGCATCGACCATTTACTACCAAGGTAAGGTAACATAAAGAAAGTAACACATTTATCGCCATACATTTGATAGCTGTCTTTCCACAAGTGCATATGCATCACAATACAAATAACTCAGAAGTGCAACATCCCTATCCACCTCCAGAACTCAGTAGATATAAGGCTTATTTTCTTTTCTCGTGCAGCAGGGACATTATTTTTTTGAAGTGGAATTAGAACTTTTGTAGTGGAAATAACTCTTTGTGCAAGAGATAGGAAATTTCTAAGCAGAGATAGTGTTTTCAAAGTGGGAGGTAGAATTGGTAAGTGGAGATGAGATAATATTTTTGTAGTGGAAATAGGACTTTTGTAGTATTGGTAGAACTTTTCTAATGTTTATAGAACTTTTGTAACGAGTAGAGCTTTTGTAATATTGTACTGATAGAATTTTTTCAATGACGATAGAACTTTTGTAGTTTTTTGCTTGTAGCAGATATTGTGTAATACTTTTTTCATGACAATAAGATGCACACAAAAAAACACACATTCCCAATGTATTTTAATCCAAAACTGAAATATGTGGAGATAGTGTGGTTTCCAGACCTAGAACAAACATGAGGACAAGGTAGAAAAAACTGAGAACATAAAACAAAATATACCCCAGATCTAAAAAAAAAAAAAAAAAAGAGGCAGGATACCCTCATGCAAGATCATAAAGTTCTACAAGAAAACTGATAATGAGGATTTGTAAATAGAGGAAAATTAAAGAAAAATCAGAGCTTAGCTCTGCTTTTGTAGGTAGAAACATGTAAATTGGTAACTACATATACACTGCATTTATGACTTATAAAGATAGCTCCCAGTAGCATTCCATGTGAAAGACTGATACGAAAACATCAAAATGTAGGAGAATTATAATGCAAACTATTTGTGGCTGAGATATGTTATGGTTAAGGAAAATGCAGCACTGATATGAGGTAAAATGCCCTCATGGATTAATGTTACTAGTGGAGCGCCTCAAGGATTACAATAGTGCTTGACTTAATGATATTTCTAACTTACACAAATGACTTGCCAGAATGAAAAAAAAAAAAGTAAAGTTGTATGTAGATTATGTGAAGATCATACATAAAATAAGTAGTAAAAATGCAGAAAGACTTAAAATAGACATGAATTGAAAGATGGATGATGAAGCTTAATGTAGACAGAGGCTATGTAATGTAAATAAAAGTAATAAAAAACAGGCCACTCGAAGAATGCAAATTGTGAGAAAATAATAAACCCATCAGATAAAGAGAGGTACCTAGGAGTCAGTATTGACAAAAGATTATTGCCAGATCACATTACCTTTAAGAAACTTATTTGGGATTATGTAGCTGTAGTGTGGTTTCCTTGTGTAAAAAAAAAAAACAGGCATTTTAAAAAAAAATTAAAGGTGTGCTGTAAAATAACTTCCAGAGCTGAAAAAATGAATTATGAAGAAAGACTGGATGTATTAGGCATGGCCACATTACCTGACAGAAGGAAAGAAGAAATATGATAGCCACACATAAAAGGATGTGAACATTGAAATGGAGAGCAAGAAGCCATAGCTAAAAACCTAGGAAGAATATGTTATGAAAGAATACTGAAAAGTTCTTCACAATTAGAAGAGAAAACTGAAAGAGTTTAAAGAAGAGGTAATAAATGATACATTAGTTAAATGCTTTAAAAAATTAAATAGTAAATTGAAATAAAAAGCTTAGCTCTTCTGTAATTAGCTGTTAGTTAGTTTTTTAGTGGGCGGTAGTCAAAAGATTACAGAGGTACATAATTGGTCCAGGGACTGGACTCCAAAGTTTTGATAGCTGAGCAAGTTACAGAGGTAATGAGCTCACAATTTACAAAGCTGTTTTATTAACAACTTGTAGCTATAGTTGTATATGTAAGTCTGTGGTGTCTTGTCTGAAATATTTAATGCACTGTTTAATTTTTTGTATAATTTAAAGTGATTGTACCACTCACTACCTCTTGTAAACCATTGCATTGATCTGTTATAGTTTGTGAAGAAAAGCTTCATAATATCCTTTCAGCAGGTCTTCTTCCTTAGTTGAAAGTTATGTCCTCTTGTTGTTGTACCAGTTGATGGGCTGAGTAAGTCTCCCTTGCCAATTCATATCCTTTAATAATTGCATATGTGGTTATCTTCTCTTTTCCTCCTATCACTCAGATTTAGCGTATTCAGAATTTTAAGTCTTTCTTCATAAGTCACTTTTTTTTGAGTACTGAGAGTCATTTCATAGCTTTTTTTCTTTTGTAGTGTTATCACGTATGTTTTAGGTAAGGACACCATACTACTGCTTCGTATTCTAATTTTTGGTTTTACATGTGAAAAATTTTTTCATCATTTTTCCATCCATATACAGGATGAGTCCCCAACATCTGAATGTGTTGCTTTCCTAGTTTTCAAATTTACAAATGACTTTTTTTTCTGACCATAAATCTAGTTCCCAGTAGAAAAAAATAGTCTAAAGGATGATTTTTGTGTTTTACGTGTTTGTCACTGATGATTGACAATCATAAAACAGTTAATTTTTTTAATATTATGGCTAATGGCCTTTGTGGCTTAGCGCTTCTTTTTTATTATAATAATAATAATAATGGCTAATGCACCTTGTTCTTAAGTGTGAATCATCATAACTTGGATGTTTGTAAAATGGTGGTCCCTTCATTTTCTCTGTATCTAAATAATATCCTAAAGTTGGCCATTGTTGCATAAGTGTTTCTCATTTTCACTTATATGATTTTCCAGTGACAAGTTTTTATCAGTGATGTCTCTTAGGTCCCTCTTTTCATCTGATGACTTCAATATTTTATTACATTTTTATGTTCTTCATGCGGGCAGCTTCCACTGTCTCCATTTCTATTACGTGACTTTTTCCACAATAAATTCCGTCACCCATCTCCCATGCCACTTGTTCAATCTATTGAGGTCTTCCTGCAGGAATACATAGTCATATAGATTACTCATCTTTCAGGTAATTTTACAAACACACACACACACACACACACACACACACACACACACACACACACACACACACACACACACACACACACACACACATACACATACACATACATTCATTCATTCACTCTGTTATTATTAATAGATTTTTTTTTTTTTTTTTTTTTTTTTTCAACAAGTCGGCCGTCTCCCACCGAGGCAGGGTGACCCAAAAAAGAAAGAAAATCCCCAAAAAGAAAATACTTTCATCATCATTCAACACTTTCACCACACTCACACATTATCACTGTTTTTGCAGAGGTGCTCAGAATACAACAGTCTAGAAGCATACACATATAAAGATACACAACATATTATTATTAAAGTACCCTTAGGAACCAATGACCACAGTGCTGAGTTTTCATTATTTAGTGTAGCTGGGAATTTAGGAGAGAATGATGTGATGGGTTACTGAGAGGTCAATTTACAAAGAGGAGACTACACAAGAATGAAAGAATGCTAAGTTGGAGTGCCATGTGAAAGTCAATTTTATGAACAGTTCCCTTCAGAATGATGGAATGCCTTGTATAAGAGTGCACAATACCATAACTAGAACAGTACATGAATAACCTGCACATAGGAGAAAGAAACTTTTGATGATGTTTCTGCCAGAGTCAGACTGAAACATTGTCATGAGTTTCTTTCTCCTATGTGTGAATTATTTGTGTACTCATACCTGTCAAAGGAACTGAAAGTGCAAAACACAAGAGAGAGAGAGAGAAAAGAGAAAGATAGAAAAGAGAGGACAGAGAACAGAGAAAAGAAGAGAGAGACAGAGAGAGCATTGTTTTAACCAGAGTTGTGAAGAAGCCAAAAATAAAAGTATAAGGACATGGAAAGTGTATATAGTATATAAATAATAAATAACAGAGTGAAGATATGAAGAGAGCAAGGAAGGAAGATGCATGTTGCATATTGGGAAATCAACACTTTATATTGACAAGATCCTTGTGGGTTTAGTACATAATTTCAATTGTTATAATAAAAATTTATATTGATGAGCAACATTTGTCAGTAACTTAAAACGTTTTAAATTGCTAATTCAGTATTTTTCTTATGTTAGTAATTCAACATTTTTTTATGCTGGTAATACAACATTTCATCACTTCCAAACTGAATTGAAGACTAGTGTAGTGACTACTAAGCAGTATGTACCTGCTAAATAGATGAGTACAAATAGGTGAGTACTGTCTTTGCAGAGGTGCTCAGATACGACAGTTTAGGTGTCCCTCCAAACTGCCAGTATCTCAAGCCCCTCCTTTAAAGTGCAGACGTTGTATACTTTCCATTTCTAGGACTCAGATCCAGCTAACCAGTTTCCCTGAATCCCTTCACAAAATATACCCTGCTGACACTCCAACAGCTCATCAGAAGATAATTGGCATACAATATTAATTTAAATGTACGTACATAAATGTAATATTTTGAATAAGAGACTTCATGGAAAATCTTGAACACTTGCCAGATTTTATATAATTACTGTGCTACTACTATATTTTCTATATTTTCTTCTTTATATCCTCTTCTTGCCAAACATTTTTGATGCGTAGAGTGTAAACAAGAGCATAACACTGTCTTTGGTAATGGATGTGATTAGTAATATACGTAATAAGTAAAACAATATTTTAGCTAATATGATAGGAAAAATGTGGGTAATGATGGTGAACATTAAAATAGCATGAGAAATCCAGAGAATTATACTGTCGCTAGGAATATACTTTGTGTGGGGTCAGCGTTAGATACATTCGCAATATATTCACTAAAATTTCTTCTAGTGCTAAATGACTCCCCACAGTTTTAACACTTTTACTGGATGTATTCCTTTATCATACCTCTTTTCCTTTGATAACAGAAATAAGGAAATTTTTAAAGGATGACAAAATAGTATGTTTAGCAATGTGGTTGTTATTCTGTGTTTTAAAAAAATTCTCAAAGAATACACACTTGCTTCAGTGTTATTAATTTTGTTATGCAGCATGTAATATCTATAATATATATGAATATGCAGAAATACTTAAATTTCATTGCATTATGCATAATTAGTGTTTTTATTCTTGTCTCAACCTAAATTTTCAGTTGTTGATCATTCTCTTAAATTTATATCATACCTCATTGAGGGTAAGGACTCTGCTTTTTGTTTCTCCTTGGACATCTACAGTATTAAGCCTAATAACTGTATTGATCAAGAATAATGAGATATAATAGTTTTTTATTATTTGTGGAGCCTCGCAGGTGGTGAGACAGTCTTCCTGAAAAAATGTGATTGTTCTATCACCCATATTCTTTAATTGATAAGAGATTTGATAAAAATAGTCTCCATAGAAACTGCTGGTATGCATGACATTTTTGACAAGTTTTAATTAGTATTTAAGGTCTTAATAGTACTTATACTGAATATTTTAATTAGCTATGTAACATGTTGCAAACTTGCAACAGATGTGCACAAGAAGAACACAATTTTTGTAGATGAATTTAAAAGAGTTTGCCAGTACAGTTGGTATGATGGCTTATCTATCATGTTGTGTGGGTGTGGATTTTATTTAGATTAATATTATTCTTGAACAGAACAAGTTAAAATAATTTTCCATCTCATCTTTAGACAGCAGTGATGGCACAGAGATTAAGAGAGACCACAGTTTGTCCATATTTATAAATATTTTAGAATGAGAAGAGTATTGTACCAACAATTTTTAAAAATAGTATTTTAAAAATCTTGATTTGGGGAAGAACATTTACAGTATCATGCAAATTTTCATAATCTTTTTTTTTTTTTTTTTTTTTTTACATTCAGAGGTAAACCTTGGACTCTTGCTACTGCAACAGTGTTTCTGAAAAAATGGAAAAAGACTTTGTCTTATAATTATTCCATAGTGAGAAACTGAGAATATTAAATACTATACTACCTTGTCATATTACCATGAATACTTTTTTTTCCATCTCTTTTTAAATTGATTTTTGACCCTCCTTCATTGAATTCCTTGAACTATTAGAAATATTAGAATAACACAATTTTATCTTAATAAAAAAAATGTACTTTTTCTTGTCAACTTATTCCTGTTTGCTTTATGCCTGATGAAAGCAGTAACAGGAATTTATTGAAGTTTAAAGTAGATGTCAGGCAATGTTGATGTGGTTTTTTGAAGAGATTCATACTGTTGGTTGTTAAGATTATTTCCTAGCACAGTTAGTTATAACCATGAAAAAATAATGGAGTTGATATATTCTGAGTTTTTACAATTAGCCAAACTAGATGATAATGTGTAAGGGAGAGTATATTTGCATATGTAGCATATTTCAAGTGTGGCTACTTGATATGTTTACTGATATTACCATTGTATAACTTTCTCAGGTTTTCATATAGATCAGTTTGTTGTGCATTTTAAAAAGGGATGTATTTCACCAATGATTTATTTGTCCTTGGTCTTGCCACCTGTTGGCTGCTTACTCTAATATACTTGTTTGAATATCTAATCTTTTCTAATCTACATTAGATAGCCTACAGCAGTAATGTCCCTCATATTGATCACTCTGTGCATTTATATCTTGAAAGGTTTTGGTTAGGTTTCTAGTATCTGAACTATACAATGTCTTCCTCTCAATTCATTTATGTTACACAGTATTTCAAAACAACTTCAAACAATTCTAAAATATTTTCATTGACTCTACCATTGCATGATGATTTTGTTTCATTTGGTAACAATCAGTGAAAAGAATTCTTTGTGTTTGCCATCCAGATTCCTGTGAGCTCCCTGCCCCACCACACAGCTCTACTCCCCTCACCATCCCTTGACTATCTTGTCTCTTGTTAGCGTGTCTCGGAAGAAGCTGCTCAAGGCCCAAAGAACACCTTTTATATTTGTAAAGTTAAGCATTTTTATTTATCTATTGTATTATACTTTTGTTTTAAGCAGTCATTTTTTTTGAAGAGTGTACATCAATATTGAGTTTGTACTTAAGTTCTAAAGACCCATGTAGGTTTATGAGGTAATGTATGTTTTAGGTTATTGATATTTACTAACATGTGGTTTATTTTTGTGAGTACAAATGTCTTTTTTTATCTGATATTGTAAATATTATTTTCTCTTTAAATTAGTGATGTTAAATAGGTTTCTTGGTATCCAGATACTGGTCAGAGTCTGTCATATTAAATGTAAGCTTCATGTGTAATTCCATTATCCATGTCATATCAAACCAACCTAAGCAAGTAATCTCTTCTTTGTAGTTTAATTTAATATTTTCCATATGGAAAAGAGGGAGTAATTGTAATACTCTATGAAAATATAATTTCTTATGTAATTTTATGTTAACTGTATTCTTCATTTGAGTAATAATGTATAGTATTGCTTTACTTACAATATGAGCATCGATTAGATTATGTAAATGTATGACCATTTTTAAAGTTTGTGTGTATATTTAAATATTTAAAGTTAACTTAGTTGCTCTGATATACCTGATATATTGTTGTATTCTTTACCATCAAATATTTTAGAGATTTCATTTAGTCATACTTTCTTCTTGCTTCTGTATTTTTGTAGTTTGTCTATGTCATTGTGTCAGTGATAATTTGTCCCATGGACATTGCAGATGTCTTTTAATTGAACCCTAAGTGTATAAATAGGAAGAGATAACTGTGCCTGGGATTGTAATCCATTGATGATACTGTATTTGTAGCTGCATAGGGTCTCAACAAGTCTAAATTGAACTGTTAATGCTGATGGATAATAAGTGTGTTACTGCAGAGAGGTGCAGTTAATGATGTGATTTTCAACTGAACATTTGTGCAGTCTACCTCGAATTGCAGCACAATCTTCACCCATTTCTTGGGATGTAAAGTGCAGTGACTAATGATTGAGACATGTTAGTGGTTATAAGTATATCTGGTGAATATGACTGGTCAGAGATAATAGAGACATGTCTAATGAGTGTCAGAGTATATTATAGGAATAACCAATGATTAAGATAGGTTAGGGAATTATAATTGCATGTGTGATTTTTGTATAAAATATTTTACAACATGACCTATAAGATATAGTACTTTATAATATTTTATACAAGCCATTGGATGTCATATGTGACTGATGATTCATGTAGCAGATTTTGTAGTGTTGTATGAAGAACAGATTTACTTGTAATGTACTTAATATATGAGCTGAAAAAAATATTTGATCTTTGAACAAAAAAATCTAATGTATATTTGCAAATATATATATATATATATATATATATTTGCAAAAAGGAAAAGATGATAATTCTTTAATCCATGCAAATACAGGAGTGATGTGAATGACAGAGTGATGGAGTTAAGTCAGTTGGTGACTGGATGCAAATTCAGGAGTGGTTTGATTGAAGGATGGAGTTAAGGCAGCTGGTGATGTGATGTGTGTACTTATAGGAAAATGTTGCTCTTCATGTACATTATGAGGACACACGGTCCTCTTTTGAACAGTAAACATTAAAGTCTTAACATAGGCACACAGATCTGTCTCATTCATTGTCCACAACTGTAGACATCAGTTGCCAAAAGTAGCATTAAGTATGACTGGACATAGCCTTTCTAATTAAAAAAATGACCATATATGTATTTATTTAAGGCTGCTGTATAGACTGGTAACTACCAAAGTGTAGTCTTTAATGAGACCAAATTTTGTACATCTGTAGAGGATCACATCTCAGGCACAGTGGCAAATGGTTGTTCTGGGAGTTGTGTATATAAACTGTTTTGTTAAAGTGGATCAGTGGAAAATAGTATCAACCCACTGAATGTATGGTTGAGTTGCACTTTCAGTGGTGCTTTGAAGTCAACTTCATAGTTAGTATTTTCACCATAAACCAGGTTAATTCCATTGTTATGGAATGTGGAACTTTACCTTACATCAGTGTATGTTTTTATTATTTTTGACTGAGTCACACTGCTGTATGTTCCCTCATCCTTGTCATTGTAATGTTGTGTGTCACTGTTGACAGTGTGTGAACATGTTTTTGCCCCCCCTCCCCCACATCTGTTGAGAAGTTTGTATATATATAATACTCAACTTTTTTATCTTGTCCTTACGTAATCTTACAGTCAGTCAGTTTAACCGCTGCCAGTTTTAAAATAGCTTTTGCTCAGGCTTAGAAAGTTTTCACCTCAATTATTGTCAAAGACATTCTACATATGTTATAGAATTTGTAGACATACGCTTTTAAATTTGAATTTGACTGCTGTTAGCATTCCATAGTAAGCCCTCAAGCTTCTGCTTGCTTTATAATAGCAGCAAAAAGTTCATTGTGCAACAAGCTTATGAAAGTGTGTTTTTTTTTTTTTTTTGCAGGGTAATTATTACAGTGTATGACAGTCTTCAGAAATGGCAAATTAAAGCCATGAAAGTCATCCACAAAGTTCTTTGTTTTATGACATTGCACAAAATGGCTATTATGTGTGTCTTGGTCTATTTCTTTCACGATGATAATGTTCTTGCAATTTGATCTGCTTTAATATGTTTTATAAAGAAGTCTACATGAATGACTCCATGTTGCAGCTATGAGTGTTACATTGGATGGTATAGGCACTTGTGAAGGGTATTGGGAGTGAAGCATCAAAGGGTATTTTGCATGTGTTCATTGACTTCCTAGGTGTTAGTGAGTGTTCAGTCATGTTGATGCATTAGTGCACAAGTGTTCTCTTCTCCTCAGTGGTAGCTCACGTTGGCTTCATCCCTCAGCCCCGTCAACGACACAAATATCTGAAGCTGGAATTGGCCGGAAACTTCTGTAGCACGATACCAAGTAAACACAGTGTTCAGGTGACAATAAATTTCACCTTCAGCCCCATCAGTAATACAAATATGTGAAGCTGTGTTATGATGCAAGTGTCACAAACACTGATCATTGAACAGGTGAATCCCACACGGCTGGAAATTTAGATATGGAGTAAAATGAATCCATATATTTCAGACTAGAGAGAGCCTCCTCAGCTGAGGAGAGTCTATGATTGAGTCTGAAATGTTCAGTTCCTTTTCATGTTGTGTTTGATTTTTCTGTCTATGTGGGGTACACTTGTTCATCTAGCACTGTAATTGGGTAAAAACTTATGCAACACAATGCCACAGTAAACAGTTTTTAGGTGACAATAAATTTACCAGGCTAAGCCTAAGGGCTTAGGAGGCTGTAAGAGTGACCAATCATTGTTCTCATTATTATTATCAGATGTAATACAATGTGAATACATGTATTACATGACTTCTGGCATGAGACAACTTACAGTTTCATTTTGGGCTTTAATGTTGTTTACCCTTGACAGGTTTTGGTTTTGTCTTAAGATTTAAATCTTATTACAGCAGAAAGGTATTTAAATGGCAACTAAAGACAGTCATAAATAATGCATTTATTGTATGAGAGGTGAAATCTCCACTACTAGTTTTTTAAGGTGTTAATAATGAATTATTATGATCTGTGTGTATACATACATGCATATACATGCATACAACCATTCATACATACATACAGCCATTCATACATACATACACACAGTTCAGATTCCCCTTCAAACTGCAAATATCCCTACCTCTTCTTCAGAGTGCAGGCACTGTACTTCCCACCTCCAGGACTTGAGTCCAGTTTTCTTGAATCCCTTTACAAAATGTTACCTTGCTCACACTCCAACAGCTCATCAAATCCCAAAACCTGTTTGCCTCCACCCACTCCTATGTAACATGTTCACACGTGTGTATGTAATTTTGGTTGCCAGGTGGGAAAGACTATGAAATTTTCATAGGACTTTTATTGTCAGTGTTAAATCCTTTACCGTCATCAGGAATCATATTCTGGAACATTATGTAATAATGTACAGCTCTATATTTTTTTTCAACACTGGTCATCTACCACTGAGGCAGGGTGACTCGAAAAGGAAGAAAACACAAAGCTTTTCTTCTATTTACATTTAGTAATTTGTACAGGAAAAAAGGGTTACTAGCCCTTTGCTACTGGTATTTTAGTTGCCTCTTACTACATGCATGGTTTATGGAGGAAAGATTTTTGCCCACTTTCCCATTAGCAGAACATGAGAAAATTTTAAAGCATTATGTAAACAATGATGATGATGATGTATGTCATGCATGAATCATTGAATATAAACTGAAAATTAAACTCCCCAAAAACTCACTCAATATTGTCAGTGTTGGTTCTTGTGTAAGTGCCCTTTATGTAGTCCCTTTCATTTAGGCATTATGTAACTATTATAATAGCGTATGCTAAGCTCTTGTGTGTGTGACTGATACAACTCCAGGTGTCGCCTAGGCAATCCTGACCTGGCTCCTGAATGAGGGGGACATGTAGATGCTTGCCCTCCTGCCAACCTTCATTGAACCCTGGCCTAAGTTGTTTGTTATGTAAACACTATTTTTTTTTTTTAATCCAAATTTAAATGTGCTTTAGCTATAATTTAAAGATTATCTGGACTTGGTGGATGATTATGAGATTCAGACTGAATTCTGATAACCAAAGTGGTTTGGCTAGAGGAGTAAGGCTCCTACAAGATATTTCCCTATACTCACACACTCATAGTCTTAAAATTCTAGAGACTACTTGCTACATATCTAATATCACAATTAGAACAAGTGAGCTGATGCAAAACTATTTAACACGGAAAAACTGCAATAGGATCTTTCAACCTTAAATGGCTGCCAGTAGTGAGTTTGCAAAAATGGATTTAAATTTAATAATTGGGGAACTGAACTAACTTATAATAATTTTGAATATTATTTACTGAAGCAAACATCTTGAGGAACTGTAACCAAAGATATTTTGTTAGAAAACTTATTTTCCAAGAATGATTTCAAAATTTTCTAAAGTAATGACAGTACATAGTTATTACTGAAGAAAAAATTCTGCAAGAATTTAACTTCACCAAATGCAGACTAAGTGGAACATAATAAGTATCACTTATCGATTAAAGTTTATATGGCATTTCTTTCCATTAACTTGGTACATTGCATAGAAAGTGTATACTTTATCCTATAAATATTATGTCATAGTATTCTGTATCAAGGAAGGTACCATTAATATGCTCAGTATTAACATCAAGAAATGATAAGCTATTATTATTTTTTTTATCCACTGTGATTACAGTAATTTTGTGCTTCGAGTTTAAATAAATCCTAAATAAGTCTACCCGAGGTTTACCTGGAGTTTACCGACCCCAGTGGGTCGGTCTGAGACCAGGCCTCATGGTGGATCTGGGTCTGATCAACCAGGCTGCTACTGCAGGCTGACGTATGAACCACAGCCCGGTTGGTCAGGTACTGACTTTAGGTGCTTGTCCAGTGCCTTCTTAAAGACACCCAGGGGTCTATTGGTAATCCCCCTTATGTATGCTGGGAGGCAGTTGAACAGTCTTGGGCCCCGGACACTTATTGTGTTGTCTCTCAGTGTACTCGTGGCACCCTTGCTTTTCATCGGGGGAATGTTGCATTTCCTGCCAAGTCTTTTGCTTTCATAGGGCGTGATCTTTGTGTGCAAGTTTGGTACCATTCCCTCCAGGACGTTTCAAGTGTATATTATCATGTATCTCTCTCACCTGCGTTCCAGGGAATACAGATCAAGGACTTTCAACCGTTTCCAGTAATTTAGGTTGGTAAAGATGAGAAAATTCTTGGATATTTGCTGTTTAGAGGGATGTCTAAACTGCTGTATCTACATGCTTCTAGCAAGACAGTGATAGTGTGAATGATGGTGCAAGTGTTTCTTTTTCAGGTCACCCTGCCTCAGTGGGAGATGGCCAGTGTGTTCAAAAAAAAAAAAAAAAGCAGTTGACCCTTTTGAACCTATTATTTAAATTAGAGGTTAAACTTAACTGTTGCCTGTGCAAACTTAAGAATAATAATCAGACTTTACAAGTTAATTATGAAAGAATTTATAGTTCTAGGTCCTTCCCTGTTATTACATATGGAGTTCCAAAAATCCATAAACAGTTCTTAGTCATAGTTCTGCAGGTTTTGACAAGAAATCAATATACTTTTTTTTTTTTTTTTTTTTTTTTAGCACACTGGCTTTACTCCATCGAGGAAGGATGACTTGAAAAAGAAACTCTCACATCATTCATGCTACCCTAGTAGGTTTAGAGCTTCTTTTTGATTATAATATTACATCACTGTCTTGCCAGAGTCATAAAGATAAAACAGTTCAGATGACCCTCCAGTGTCTGTCAGTACATATTGTCAGCCTAATCTAATTATGGCCAGGTTTGATAAAGTGTCTTTGTTTACTAATATTCGACTAAGAGATATAATAAACATTTGTATTAATGATTTATTTAGACACTTAGAATAAATGGAAAATTTAAAAAAAAAAATAATAATTACTGTACTTAAGCTTGCAGTTAATGAGTCTTCATTTTAAATAACAATGTGTATACAGACATATTGAGTAGCAGTATTCTCTGTATTGGGACCATAATGAAGTAAATTGTTTTAGAATTTATTCTGAGATAAGAGCTGTACGTTGTCATTATTTAAAAAATATTGGAATAATTCTTGCAAAATAAATTCTCTGACAAAATACACTTATCTACAGTTCTTGAAGATGTTCACTGATGTTAACTATGTTAAACTTTTATTTTATGAACATCTTGGTTTAAATATTAGGAAACAATGTTCAAAATTACTACAAGCTAGTTGCCCACAAATTAAATGTAAATTCATTTTTTAAACTTGCTATTTGTAGCCTAATCAAATAATTAATGGTAAGTGCTAAACCCCCATGTGGGTCATTCAGCACAAGATGTGATGGAAGTTTGTTCCTCCATCTGCCTAGCATGAGACAGATGCGCTTCCTATTTGTACTCGCTTAGAGTGTAACTGTTGGTAGCCACTTCGGGTTTAAGGATCCTAATGTAGTGCTTGTGTTCAAATGTTTTATATCGGCTCATTTGTTCTAATAATAATACAAGTATTTGATATATAGCAAGTATTCTCTAAAATTTTAATTTTATAAGTTTGTGAGCATAACCACCACAGCTATCAAAATCATTCTCTCATAATCATACACTGAGTTCGGGTAACTTTAAAAGTACATATAGCTAAAACACACAAGACTTGAATTTAAGAATTTTATAGAGCTTGCATATTAAACAACTTACTCTGGACTCAATGATAATGATTCTGCTATTAACTTATTTACTCTAAAATAATCATAGCTTACCTCTCATTTGGTGAGTTTAGTTTTCTGTTTATAATTAATATTGTGGCTTATCTTGGAGAGTAACTATCCGATTTATGCATGGGAGAGCAATTGCCTGATTCGTGCATTACAATAATAATAATAATTTTTATTTTGGCATGATACAATGTTTGTATAGAGATGTGTGACATTTAATTGTACATGCAGAAGGCCCATAGTTATGCAGATCATTTCAGGCAAACTTAAGCCTGACTTAAGACTATAATGGCAATTACTAATTAATTGCATATATATAAGGACATTAAGGATATACAGACAACAAATTTAGGAATTACAAGAAGAACAAACAACCAGATAATTATTACTGTCTGATTTATGCACAACATACATCATCATCTCCTTACTGGTTTGTTTAACTAATTTTTAAATCTGTCTCATGTTCTGTTAATACATGTATGTCATTGTTTGGGTTACTTGCCAAATCTAGTATTTTGTATGATTACCCTTCCTCTTGATGCACTTCTTCCATCTCCTAGGCAGTGATAAGGTTAAAGTATGGAGGATAGGGGTCACTACCCTCCCACACCAATGGCATTTGAGTGTTTGGGGATAGTGGACACAAAGTTTATCCTTGATAAGGTTCCACATGTTCTTTACGATATTTCAGTCCGTTGAGTTACCAGGCTGTGTTCTCTATCATACGTAAGTCTGGCAAATTCTCTATCATATTTCAGTCATTAAAGATTGAAATTTTGCAATTATTTAGCCAGTTGTTTATGTCTGGTAGGATGGTAACGGGCACCATCTTGCATACAAAAGTTGTCCAGGAACTTTTCAAAACTGTTGGCAAATAGTTTGCTAAAGGCATACTTATGTGCATGCATATTATTATTATTATTTCATGATCCAGAATATGATTCCTGATGTTGCTGGATTAAAAGCCGAAATGGTGATTTACCCTACAATAAATGTCTTATGAAGATCTCTTAATCTTTCTCACCTGCCAAAATTATAATTATTCAAGCTCAATCCTCTTTTTATGTATGCATACACATACACAATGTGCACATGCACACATGCACGGACACACACACACACACACACCACCACCACACACACACACACACACACACACCACACACACACACACACACACACACACACACACACACACACACACACACACACACACACACACACACACACTCACACTCACACACACTAAATTTAAAATACTAAGAAGACTACTGAAGTCCATTTATGGATGATGACAGTTTCTTCGTGGATTTGGCCACATTTTTATGTTAGTGTTCCAAATTATATGTCAATTTTTGGAGGTAGACCTCTATCAGGTGTGTATAGTTGATATTAACCATCCAGAACACCTGAGTGGCCAATGTATGATTAGTATTGACCATTCAGGACACCCAAGTGGCTGATGTATGGTTAATATTGACCATCCAGGACACATGAGTGACTGATGCATGGTTAATACTGACCATCCAGGAAACCTGAGTGGCTGATGTATGGTTAATATTGACCATCCAGGACACCTGAGTGGCTGATGTCTGCTCAGTACTCACCACAAGGGCTCCTGAGTGGCTGGTTTCTGCTCAGAACTCACCATAAAGGCTCCTGAGTGGCTGGTATTTGCTCGGTACTCACCATGAGGATTCCTGAGTGGCTGGTGTCTGCTCACTACTCATTACAAGAGCTCTTGAGTGGCTGGTGTCTGCTCAGTACTGACCACAAGGGCTCCTGAGTGGCTGGTGTTTGCTCAGTACTCACCACGAGGGCTCCTGAGTGGCTGGTGTCTGCTCAGTACTCACCACGAGGGCTCCTGAATGGCTAATGTCTGCTCAGTACTCACCACAAGGGCTCCCGAGTGGCTAGTGTCTGCTCAGTACTCACCACAAGGGCTCCCGAGTGGCTAGTGTCTGCTCAGTACTCACCACAAGGGCTCCTGAGTGGCTGGTGTCTGCTCAGTGCTCACCACAAGGGCTCCTGAGTGGCTGGTGTCTGCTCAGTGCTCACCACAAGGGCTCCTGAGTGGCTGGTGTATGCTCAGTACTTACACGAGGGCTCCTGAGCGGCTGGTGTCTGCTCAGTACTCACCACAAGGGCTCCTGAGTGGCTGGTGTATGCTCAGTACTCACAACGAGGGCTCCTGAGCGGCTGGTGTCTGCTCAGTACTCACCACGAGGGCTCCGCAGTGGCTAGTGTCTGCTAAGTACTCACCACAAGGGCTCCCGAGTGGTTAGTGTCTGCTCAGTACTCACCACGAGGGCTCCCGAGTGGCTAGTGTCTGCTCAGTACTCACCACGAGGGCTCCCGAGTGGCTGGTGTCTGCTCAGTACTCACCACAAGGGCTCCTGAGCGGCTGGTGTCTACTCAGTACTCACCACAAGGGCTCCTGAGTGGCTGGTGTCTGCTCAGTACTCACCATGAGGGCTCCTGAGTGGCTGGTGTCTGCGCAGTACTCACCACGAAGGCTCCTGAGTGGCTGGTCTCTGCTCAATACTCACCACGAGGGCTCCTGAGTGGCTGGTGTCTGCTCAGTACTCACCACGAGGGCTCCTGAGTGGCTGGTGTTTGCTCAGTATCTACCATGAGGGCTCCTGAGTGGCTGGTGTCTGCTCAGTACTCACCACGAGGGCTCCTGAGTGGCTAGTGTCTGCTCTGTACTTACCACGAGGGCTCTTGAGTGGCTGGTTTCTGATCAGTACTCACCATGAGGGCTCCTGAGTGGCTGGTGCCTGCTCAGTACTCACCACGAGGGCTCCCAAGTGGCTAGTGTCTGCTCAGTACTCACCACGAGGGCTCCTGAGTGGCTGGTGTCTGCTCAGTACTCACCACGAGGGCTCCTGAGTGGCTGGTGTCTGCTCAGTACTCACCACGAAGGCTCCTGAGTGGCTAGTGTCTGCTCAGTACTCACCACGAGGGCTCCTGAGTGATTGGTGTCTGCTCAGTACTCACAGTGAGGGCTCCTGAGTGGCTGGTGTCTGCTCAGTACTCACAGTGAGGGCTCCTGAGTGGCTGGTTTCTGCTCAGTACTCACCACGAGGGCTCCTGAGTGGCTAGTGTCTGCTCAGTACTCACCACGAGGACTCCTGAGTGGCTGGTGTTTGCTCTGTACTCACCACGAGGGCTCCTGAGTGGCTAGTGTCTGCTCAGTACTCACCCCAAGGGCTCCTGAGTGGCTAGTGTCTGCTCAGCACTCACCACGAGGACTCCTGAGCGGCTGGTTGCAAGTTGTTAGTGTTGCTCAACATAAATATAACTTAATTTTGTTCTAATATGCCACAAAAGTGGATATTAATTTAATACTAATTTTTCATTATAATATTGAGTGTATTGAGTTTGAAAATTGAAATTTTTGTGATGTTTCATATAGGCCTAGTCTCTACCATGACATATCAATTTTAAGTAAAATATTATTAGTCTTTTGCAATTCTCAAGATATTCAGAACCTATTAGATTTTCTGTATTATACAATGACACCTAATTTTATGCTAGGGATAGTAACGATGACAATTTTGAATATGGGATTTTAAGAGCATCAATGTAGGGCAGATGTATTCTAGTAGGTTAGTTAGTAATATATGTAGAAATGTGACTGCAGTATCTAGTGTTGTCATATATAATGATGTAACAGAAACATCTCTAAGGATAAAAGGTTAATTGATTCTAAGACTTCTAAATGTTACCTTATTTTTCATTTTTGTGTAGAAAATATTGATTTTTGCATAGAGATATTACTTAGAAAATCCCTAACAAATAATTGATTCCATCTTCAATTTCATCCTTTATATAATAGAGTATTTACGATAAATACCTTCAACTTGCACCCACTAACTCAGTGTGTTTGCTGTACAAAGCTGTAAAAAATGTTAGCCCTGGAAAAAGAAATAAGATCTTATCTACATGTATGGTCTTTTATTTACATTGATAAACCTGTCATGTAACTTAAATCTGTCATCTAATATATATTAAAAATGATGAAAATTAATATTTTGTCTGTTTTTCAGTTAGCAGGCTGGTTGAGTTTCATCTGTTCCAGGGAGTACTATCATGGTGGCAGTGAAAGGATCCTTCTGTATACCATTTATACTTATCCCTGGAAGTGCTGTACTGCTATGGAGCAGTAACAAGACACTTCTGTAATGAAATATCCCTAGAAGAATTGCCAGGGTAGCAGTAACAAGAGATTTCTGTAGCCCATTTATGATTATTCCCTCTCTTCATGGGGGATATGGAGTCTCTTGCTGTTGTGAAAGTGTTCTTTGTCTGAGGAATTGGGCCTCTTATCCCCTTCCTAGGACTTGAATCATCTCAGTACACCCACCCATTCTCCCCCCTCCCCCTCCCCCCTCTCTCTCCTCTCTCTCTCTCTGTCTCTCTCTCTCTCTCTCTGTCTCTCTCTGTCTCTCTCTCTCTCTCTCTCTCTCTCTCTCTCTCTCTCTCTCTCTCTCTCTCTCTCTTCTCTCTTTCCTCTCTCTCTCTTCTCTCTCTTTTTTTTTTTTTTTTTTTTTAAGGAGGGCTCCTTGTTGTGGTAAAGAGGCTATTGGTTTGAGGAATTGGACCTTTTTGTCTTCTTCATCAGACTGCACCTAATTACCCCCGATTCCCTATTTTTTTTTTTTTTTTTTTTCCTCCTCCCTCCTCCTCCCCATCCCCTTCCTGTTTACAACCTTTGGGGTTCTTCCCTCAGGCATTTTAGTTCCTAGGTAGGGTAAAGGGTACTATGGTCCAACCCATTCCATTGAGGTCTTTGGTGGTGGTGTAGTTTGCCATGGAATCTGGATCAACTGGGGATAACCCATTCTTTCTCCGATTCCCGAGGGGCGGCTTTGGGTGTCCTTCCGGTGACAGGTGTATTTCAGGAGGCAGCTTGTCAGATTCCTGGAGGTGGTGGCCAAAGGAGGTATGCTTTGTGGTGGGTATCTGGCCACTCTCTCTTTTGTAACCTACTAATTATCCCTCTCCCTTTTGCCACCTGATACCCCTGCTTCCTTCCTGCCCTGCAGCGCTGTATAGCCCTTGTGGTTTAGTGCTTCTTTATGATTATAATAATAATAATAATTTTGTCCACCAAGGTGGCTCAATAGAAGTGAGGTTGCTATCCTGGATTGCTGGTGTACTGGCATGGAGGGTAGGGTATGGCATGGGTTCCATGCCACATCTGCACTACTGGTGGTGCTGGGGTCCTCTTGGGAGCAGAGGGGGATTTACAGCCCTTTCATTCCTCCTAGGAGCTATCCCTCCATGCTCTCCCCTTTCTTTATTCTCTTTTTTCTTTTTCTTTCCTTTTTTCTTTTATTTTCTAAACAACACAAAGAAAGAAGTGACATAACCATGGAGTCTCAAGTCCATGAACCAGCTTCTCCCAGGCCCATTTCTGCTACCAAACATTGTTACGACCCTATCTCGTTATTTGACCATTCTTTGGACCTTTCTAATGCCCCTGTACCTTTTGCTGGGCAGTTTCGTCATCAGTTGCAGGTGCCGAGGTTCAACCTGACTCTTTTGATACATCCGACCTCTGCACTTCTTTGACAGTGCTTCCGGCTTCTCCCTCTACGGTGCGACGATTCTCGGATCGCCTGCCCATCTCAAGTCGAACCAACTCTGGTCCCCATGCCTAAACAACCAAGACCATTAATTTATGACACTTCTATTACTTCTCACTCTGCTCAGAAAAGACCAGCATGACACTTGCTTCCCTTACACACTATGTTTCAAAGTACACAATGGACTAAGTTTTTTACTCTACAACTGACATATCCTACTGACTATCTCTCAGATCATAGTAACGGCAAGGCGCTTCTACACCATGTTGGTTGAAATATTTCATTTCATGCTCTCAAGAGTGGTGCACGCATCATCATGGTACACAGTGCTAGCCAAGCCCACAATCTTCTCTTCTTACCACAGTAGATGCTATCCCTGTAATAATTCAAAAAGACCATTCTATCATTTCTT